GTTAGTGATGATGTTCCCACCGAGGCTCGAACCCAGTACCCATAGTTTCAAACACCGAAGCGTTATCCACTAGACCACTTGGGCCACGAGAGCCACCTCTTGTGCAACGGGTCATATTAATTATTTAATTGAGTTTTAGATTTTCCCGTCGATTGATTGGATCGAAGTGCTCGGTCTCAGGTTGATATGACGGTTTCTTGTGCAGATGCTTCGACGATGTCTGGGCATGTAATCAGAATTTAATTGGTGGATGGTGACTAGCAGTGGCGCTCGTGGTCCAAGTGGTCTAGTGGATAACGCTTCAGTGTTTGAAACTATGGGTACTGGCTTCGAGCCTCGGTGGGAACATCATCACTAACTCACTGGGGAATGCAGGTACATCCAGCTTACAAGTCCCAAATGGGACGAAATGAGCATCCTGGATTCCACTGCTAGTCACCGTACACCAATTAAATTCTAATTACATGCCCAGACATCGTCGAAGCACCTGCACAAGAAGCTGACATGTCAACCTGAGACCGAGCACTTCGGTCCAATCAATCGACGGGAAAATCTAAAACTCAATTAAATTATACATCATATAAGTTGTTAATATTTTCACAGTATTTTATTCCTGTCATTGGTATTATCAGAAGCAGTAAGCTTGCTGGAAATACTATCAAAAGACATAATGAGCACATGTATAATACAAACTTATTTACAGCATATTTTAGTCATACCACGATACACTGACGTAATCTATGAGATTAGTCGAAAAAAGTACTAATAGCAGTCTCTAAATGAAGAGAGCATAGTTTCGTTAAATCTTCCTAGGTACCAAAGTTCAGTCACTTGTCTGTCAACATTGGATGCTAAAATGAAATACTACATCAACAAGTGGCTGTATATGTTCAATAAAATTTGTTCAGTACTGCAGGATTAACAGTTAATTTGGTTACTATCTCTTGATCGATTCGAGAGTTACACTGATTGTTATACATGGTATCGATAATTCTTGGAAGTCATGTAACCATTGGCATGAAATGACTTTCTTAAATTGTGCATAGGTCATTTTATGTTAGTTGTTGGTGTGACTGGACTTTTACTTATTTTCAAGTGTTGGTTTGTAGGGATTTGATTGGTTACAGGATTTTCATCATGAGCTGATATCAGTTAGAGAACCATTGGAAAACCTGGGAGTACTGGACAGCCGTTTCCTCCTTCCTAGTTTGGGACTCTTCAGCAGTACGCACCCACCGGGATTCGAACCCAGGACCTTCTGGTTTACAAGGCGAGCTCGTATACCATTAAGCCACTGGGACCCAATCCAATGGTCCATGAATTCTAACTTCTGCCAGTTCACGACATAGTGCGACCCCTAACCAATGTCTTCGGCGAGTATTTGTCCTCACACCCGACCTGCTGCACCCTACTGGTCACGACTTCTCACTAGAACCCCAGGTAACTACCTACCTGAATAGGGCAAGTCGCTAGTTTTTTTGGAAAGGGGCTCAGTCGTATTCAAATCTCTAAAGCTATTTTTGAAATTAGACATGTGTATATCTAGTGTTTTCATTACATGGTTGGCTGACAGAACAGTTTTGAGATCCTCAATGCTTTTGAACCCTTGTTTATATCAACCAGTATTACATCTTATACCGAACTCTTTACTTATAATGTGGAGGTTGAGGGTTCGTGCCTCTCTCGGGGCATCACTTCTATGGCCTCTTGGAGTAGCAGTTAGCGCTCTAAACTTTCAATCCAGTGACCCTGGTTCGAGTCCCTGCTAGGTCTTGTCCACTAGGTCTTCAGTGCATCAGGGGTCCAATGGCATGATTTTCATCAACCACCCACATGGTCCAGGTCCATTTCCCGGCTTACAAACTCTTAAACCTCACCTATCCATTAGTAAATCCCCAGAAGAGGAAAGGTTAGATGTGAGGCTAGCAGTATCACGCCATGAACAATTAACATCACGGGCAGTGAGAACTCAAAGTCTGAGACCCTATACTCTACTCCGAATGCAAAGAATGATGAAAAACTATTTCATCTTACACCAACCTTCGTAACAAACAATTTAAGTACTGTTTAAATATCATCATTAAATGAATGTGGAAATGTACCTGGCTCCAAAATGGGACAGGTCATTTCCCTCAGATACTACTTGAGTAATTTGTGTTTCCCGAAATTCACAAACAAAAATCGTCTTAAATGAAAACATTATCCAATCCAAAGTCTCAAGTTCATTTCAATATTTATAATTTTATTAAAAGATAAGGTGAAACTATAAAACTGTCACTCTTGATGGTTTTTGAGTTAATATGAGAAATGGGTTAAACGGAATGACATCTGCAATCCTATTCTGACCAGGGTTCGAATCCCAGGAGGGATCCTTCGAGGTTATCAGATACGTCTTACTGACTGATAAGCACGAAACCTAGGTCAAAGGCTTCCTGACTATTGCCTCCAGCCATTTAACGTCAATTCAGAGTGTACGCGATGGTAAGCCATCTAACCTGGTGGTCATATTGCAGACTTGACTGATAGAATTCAGTCGGAACCAAACGAAGGAACTAATTAATGCATGACATTAGTTACTATCTAGTGTCTAATCAAGTGTTGGTTTGCAGGAATTTGATTGGTTTCAAGATTTCATTATGAGCTGACATCGATTACAGAACCATTGGAAAACCAGCTGGGAGTACTGGACAGCTGTCTCGTCCTAGTTTGGGACTCTCCAGCAGTACAAACCCAACGCCAGGGTCCGAACCCAAGACCTTCCGGTTACAAGGCGAGCTATCTCGTAGACGATTAAGCCACTGGAACCGAATCCAGTGGCCAGTCCATGAATCCCAACTTCTGCTAATTCACGATATAGCGCCACCACTAGCCAATTTCATTGACAGAATTAAAAAATCTTTACAGTCTAATAAAGATGCTAAATGGTGATTGGTAATTAATTCAGTAGTGAATAAAAAGATAACCGTTTGTAAACAGGAATGATTAAATATGCATAACAGGATTCAAGAATCAATCTTCACCAGTCGTTTTGATTGTAATGTCTAATCGTATATTAGGCTGAGTAGAATTCCCATCCCCAAAATCCTTCTAACAATATTTTATTAAGTTATTAGTGTATCAGATAAGTGACATTCCAACACGAAAATGTAGGCATACCTTGTAAGTATCTTGAAAATGTGAGTCGAGTGACAGTGGGTAAAACAACCACGATATTTAGATGGAATCATCATTGCTACACACTCGAAATACCAATATGTTTCTGTTAAACATTTCATATTATGAAGAATTAAACTTTACTTAAGGGAAGAATGGTTGACCCTGAAAGGATAAGTAATTTAGAAAAAAGCTCAGCTATTGCACTACATGCAATAACACACAACCACACAATAGGGTAGGAGAGGGTTAAGATTCTAAGAAGTAATCTATGTAGGTGGAGAGAGAGGTTGATTACTGAATCCTTGTTCATCGAGTCTACACCCAACACATGCAACAGAAATGACTCAATGCAAATACCAGAAATATGGAAGATATTATTACCGCCGGTCAAATCAGAAAAGAATAATAAATAATCTTAATATTCTATTTCAATTCAAGCACATCACAACATCCTAACAAGTTACTTATTATGACTATAGAAACACTCGTTTTATTTCCCATCTAATTGTATTTGATCAATAACACTCGTAATATTATTTCTGAATGTACATTATCTCATATTGATTTTTATTCAAATATCTAGTCAATTCCATACGTATATATAAATGAAGGAAAGAAGTTGTGTGAGTAACTTGATATGATTACACCCTACCACAGTGCCCAAGTTTTATACTTATATTATGAATATCACTCAGTAGTTTATTTGCTAGTACATTTTTTCTTGACTCACTTCTAGGTGTGTAATAAAGTAATGACTGACCGAAACACTCAGTGTTTTATCGAGTTATTTTAAGAATAATACAGTAATAAACTAGCTGTCCAAAAATGTATTCCCATTGAATTTCATGTAATACTGAAATACAACAGGGAATGAGTACTGAACGGATAGTTGGTTGAAAATATCCATAACCAAGATGATATCAGCATTGAGTTACCAAGTGGGTCAGCTGACATGTGATAAACGTGTCACATAGCTATCCTAAATCTCACTTAGACCAAGGTTTATACTTCAGACATTATTAGGTTAAGCTACATCTACTCCATAAAGTCTGAGAAGCATTTAAATGTATTGTTTATGCTCATTGTAGGGAGTTGCCTCTTCGTTAAAATAAATATGTGTAATTCAATGCTGGTTACATGTTTTGTACACAAAATACAGGAATATTCACTTACCAGCAACCAGACATATTAAATAATCACTGACATAAGAGATTCCCTGCCATGTGGCTTAAACTAGTAACTACCGAAATGTTAACAATTCTTCTCATTGAACTATCACAATAACCTGTTAAATGAATATACCATACAGCGAAACAGTATTACTTACTGGATGATATTTCGAACACAATTTATTGTTCACATCATAACAACTAATACGATTATGTACAATGAATTGTGTTCGAAACATCATCCAGTAAGTAATACTTTTTCACTATGTGATACATTCAATAGACAAAATAATAAGGAGTTATGTACTATCCACAATGCCCAAGTTTTACAAATATATTAATTCAAATTTACTACTTTTATTGATAAGTACTTCACCATTACAACTGATGACGCTGTCTAGCCTGACATACAAACATCCATTGATATCAAATTAGCTTAATTAGCGATTAATTATGAAAATACAGGCATTTAACCATAAGTATTTATCGATTCATCTTACTTCTTTTTTTTAAAGGAAAACAGGTTAGACATTTTAGTAAAATACAACCAAATTTAATAGAGTAAAATTTCTAATTTTACAGTCAATCACTCATCTTTATAATCTGTGCGTTAACTTTGTTTTTTTTTTTTTTGTTAAAATAACCAATTTCCCACGGGTAGATTGAATTCCAATTTTAAACAGCTGTTTCTTCTGAAGTTGTAGTAGATTTAGTTGACTTGGCTGCTGTCTGTTTTTCACCTTCATTTCCTGTCTTTTTGTCTTCGGTATCACTCGGTTGTTGCTGTTGCTGCTGTTTTTCAGACTTTTGTGATGAGACAGACGATGATTCTTCAGTTGTTTCACTGACAGTAGTCGACAGTAGTGTTGGTGTTGTAGTCTTATCAAGTCTGCTTTCCGTTGTCTCATCACCATGATCTAGTGAATCATCTGTAGAATTCAATGCTTCATGAAGTGCATCATGTGAAATTACTGTCCAATTCGCATCATCTTCACTACTGCTTGCATCTGGTATCTTATAAGCATATGCATCAGTATTATTTAACTGTTCTTTACTGTTAGTTGTCGTCTGTCCAGATGTTTCATCAATAGCAGAAGTTGTTGTTGTTGTAGCGGCAGGCAGGCTTAGTGTTAATTGAAAAGTGAAGCTGAAAATTAATAGGAAACAAACTGAAATAGCAGACATGTTGATTATAAATGTTAAAATTTAGTAGTAGTAGCGTTCTACACTTTAAAAGTTTGAATTAATATGGTGTAAGAGTACAAAAAATATCACGTTTATGTAGGCGTTTATAACCTTGGAAATACCCGCATAAAATTTAAAAATCTTGACAGTTTTATTTCAATCAATAGTGTCCAAAGATGTTGAATATTGAAGAGAATAAACTAAACACGAATATGAATGGGAATGTGAAGGTGTACATATACGGGAAGTATGTGGGATAGAAGTTATAGGCTAGAAATAGCCCGTATATAATTGTTTTCAATGCAAATGACTTTTAATTTAAAGAGGTTTACAATTCAATTCACTTTTTACTAATACAAAACTAATTTCTTAAAGTTGATTTGAAAAAATTAAAAAGGTTTATATCAGTTTGTGTCTGTGTTTATTGAAATCTTATGTCTCTTTTTAGAATAAAATCTAAGGAAACAGAAAGACTGAGCGAAGAAATATTTACTTTTCAATTAGATCCTCATCTCTGGCTCTACTCTAATATACATAGCATTTTTATTACAATACACAACAGTTTACCAAACAAGTGGCGATATGTTTGTTAACAATAATTAAACAGTGTCAAAATGTCAATGGGTTGATAATTAACGAAGAAAATCATTACACATTTAAAAGGTAGAAATGGATAGAATAAATTAATTTTACAAGGATAACACGTAATTAAAGATGAAGTGGTCAAAATAAATAAAAATAAAATAATTTGGACAATTATAATTTTTATAGTTTTTAAAGGTTTAGGGGGAGGGGGCGACGTAGTCCTGTTTATGCATTCTTCTAGAGATGGCCACGGTAAGGAAAGTGGCTGTACAAATTTCTTCTGAACACATAGGCTTGGCTTCTTAAGGTGGATTCCGATTGCTTCAGCTGTCTGTAGAAGACGAACTCGTAGAGCAAAATTAAGATTAGTCGGAATGCGATAAATAATTTTAAATGCAGTATTTACATCAACCTTATGCTCAGTATCAACAAGGTGTGCTAAAATAGAACTACGAATAGATCTTGTTTGTCCCTTGCTTAACCATGTTTAATGATGTTCGGAAATACGACGGTGAACCTGCCTAATTGTACGCCCAATGTAGCTGGCTCCGCAGCTGCAGTCAAACTGGTAGATACACATAGAAGAGGCAAATTTAGGTAGTTTATCCTTATTTCTCGAACACAGAATAGGGGTGGTTGTGAAGAGACAACGTACCTCTGCTGCATAATAAGCTCTTTTAACTGCATTCTTCAGGCTCTGTGTTATGATTTCGCTGATATTGTCTCCGAGGAACTGCAATTTTATGAACATTGGTTTCTTCGCAACTGTAGCCATACTGACTCTCCTTGGTGCTGAATTCATATTTTTCTCAATGAATTTATCTGGATAACCATTTTTTTCTAAGTAATTCTCTAATAATCTTAAGCTCCTCATTGAGGCAGTCGTCTGAACAGATTAACTTAGCTCTATGAACCAGACACTTTACCAGGTTACGTTTATATTTCAAAGGTACAAAACTCAAAAAATGAGTGTACTGACCTGTTGTTGTAGGTTTCCTATACACACTCCTTCTTAGTGTGCCATCTTCTTTCCTTGCCATGAAGACGTCTAGGAATGAGATACTATCATTACTTTCTTTCTCTATGGTAAAGTTTATTGCTGAATGTGCATCATTAAACTTGTCAAGGATGTTCATTGCATCATTCTCGTCTTTCATAACCACAAATGTATCATCCATATATTGACAGTAGAAATCCATGTCATTAATTACTCTTAAATCTAAGGGACTTTACCTGTCATATTGTTTAGGGAAAAATTCATAAACTTAAATCATAGCTGAGTGAAATTTATTTGAGGATTAATTGCACTGTGTATTTTCTTTATTTGAATTAATTAATTAGCCATCCATTCGTCAGAATGATACTTAAACGTTTTTTTTTGCAAACTGATATTAAGGACAATCGATATTTCATAGAATATCTGTTACAAGTAATTTATTGACACATCTGTGATGTGTGTACATCAAAAAATGTGATCATATGAGCTGATTTTACAAAGATTTTGCCAGTGACTTGTTGTATTAATTTATTCGATAATTATTCGTGTATAACGAGATTATGTAAATTACTCAGTAATTGTATTGTGAAAGGACCTTATCATAATAATAATTAGGAATATGGTTTACAATGAGTCTTTTCTTTCAGGTGTTCGGTGGTTGAAGGCAATCGACATAAAGTCCTGGTCGTGTGTTTCATACTTATTAATAACACTCGTCAGTAAGGTGTGTCTGCGACCTCGAAGGAACTGCTTACCTCCCGAAGATTTGGGTTCCAATCTTATTGTAAACTTGACTGTTAGAATTCAATCAGCAGTGACACTAAGGACTAGACAAATGGCATTGGCTATTCCCTAGTGACCAAACAATTTATGCCTTACAGTTAGTCGTAAGTCGCAAAAGTCAATAGTAACGCCTGTGACTGCAGCATTGGGTGACACAGGTTTGAATGCCCATGGGAAGAAGCATCAGTCAGTTCCTTCGGGGATGTAGATACACCTCGGTGATAAGCAAAATATTAAAAAAATAATACAAAGAATTCTTTTCGATAAATTCCTCTTCCGCTCTACATTATATATATTTTATACACAGAATATTTTAAATTAGTAGTTAATAACAATATTAGTGTTTTTTAAATAATATCGATTTGTAAAGTATGATCAGTGCAATTACAGTTCATTAAAGATGCTTAAATTATAAATAATAATAATAATAAATACAATAGCAATGAATATCAACTGAAATTAGGGAAATTCCACAAAAATTCCGGATTATTCAAACCTGGATGGCCAAGGTAGTGATATTGTCTGAACTAACTTCTTTTGGGTGCATAAATTAGGCTTGTTAATATGGATCCCCACAGCTCTCAGGTATGAAATCAGAGGCCGGTACTTCCTGACCATCACCTTCAACCTTCTAACAACCTATTCAAAATCCATGTCGATGGTGAGTCACCTAGCTTGGTTATCACATTACAAACTTGACTGATACAACTCAGTCAGTATCAACATATAACATGTATTGTGGCGTGTCTTGATAATAAGATTCATCAGTAGGATATGTATAAAGAGATGTTCATCGGCATAAAAACATCAAATAGCAGGGAGATAGATTTGATGTCAGAGAAAGCAAATGATGCAGCGTTGCGGTCTAAGATAGTTAACAACCCTAACAACGAACATGTGTCGAAATTAAGACAACAAAGTTGTATCCATTGATATTTTCAGGAACTCGTGAGTTGTATGCCTGACTGAAGTGTCATTTTTAAATGAAACACTGAAACTAATGAATTACTGAAGATTGCATGGAGGATTTCATCATGAGCTGACATCAGTTAGAGAACCACTGGAAAACCTGCAGGGAGTACTGGACAGCTGTTTCGTCCTAGTTTGGGACTCTTCATCAGTACGCAACCAGCGGGGTTCGAACCCAGGACCTTCTGGTTACAAGGCCAGTGAGCTCGTAGACCGTTGAGCCACTTGGACCCGAATCAACGGTCCCTGAATTCTAACTTCTGCCAATTCACGACATAGCGCGACCATTCTGCAATGTCTTCTTCGATGAGTTACTGCCAGGTGCTCTGATGAAGAGTCCCAAACTAGGACGAAACAGCTGTCCAGTACTCCCAGGTTTTCCAGTGGTTCTCTAATTGATGTCAGCTCATGATGAAATCCTCCATGCAATCAAACAAAATCCCTACAAAACCAATACTTGAAAATTACTGAAGACTTTCTGTTTGTTTGTTTGTTTTCTGTTAACCAGGATGTTGGATGTTTGGCGTTATGCTCAGGAGACCTGTGTACCTTGATCAAAAAGGAATTCATATGATATTTCAAAAAAAATATATCTATAATATGAATGAGTTTCAGCAGTGGCGATTTTTTAACATGTGGTTAAGATTGTTATCGATCCTCTCCTTTTCTTTTCTAAGAGATGAGTCTGAATGAGTAATTGTTCATATTTATACCATATATAACGCCCTGTCGTTTAATGAAAAGGACGAACTGAAAGGTAACGTACATTAAAAACAATATAGTCGACAATTCTACTTTATTATAAAGATCAAAGATGAAATCACTTATTGAGGATTGACTATTTTAACTTTCAACTGCCAGTTCTCTTTTCACACTTTTGTCCCAGTGAAATTTTCCTTTAATGATCCTGCAAATTTTTATAGAAAATCGTAGCCAAAGAAAAGAAGTTATATAGTTATAACTGTAGTGTATACTTGAATTAAAGAAGACGGGGTATACAGATGTTATCGACTTGCACCACTGCTATGCCAGCCAATGAGTTATGCAGTGATTAAAGTAAGAGGAATCACAACAAAGAAGTTATGTCCAAACTGGTACACAAATGTTACAAATAAAGGAATCGACATTACTAAGAAATGCCACACCTGTTCTCATACCATGGTACCGACGAAAACAATACTGTGGAAGATTATTAAAATGCTTTAATGAGAAAAGCGACGAATACAGCGAATAAACATTACAGTTAATTTAAAGAGGATATGCGGATGTAACTCCTTCATTGTGATTGGTTTTGATCTTTATCATCTAATCTCCAACTATACAGCCCATCAGTTCAACAACCAAGCAATCTTCTCCTTTTTATACTGTTCAGACCAACAGTCAGTAACGCAATGAACTGGAACCTCTTCCTTCTTCTAATTGAACACATTGGGGAAAAGTGATAACTATAAATGCCTACCAAATGTGTATGTCACTTTAGCTGATCAAGATTCCATTGACGTACAAGCCTTATATGGAATACTACGTCCAACCGTAACATTAACCATTCGATAGTTCCAGCATACGAGAGAAACTCTGTGAATGTAATGAAGTGTGCTGGATCCTTTTAATAGATCAAATCCATTTGCTAACTGAAACTTAATACTATATATTTACAGTTTCAAGG